TGGCGGGGCTTTCCACCAAAGGGCAACCAAACAGTACACTCTACACATACACTTCTCTACACATAAATGGGTTGCACACAATTACACCACTTATACATCTATTCACACATATTCACAATACACTTATCACACCCATATGATTGTTTCCTTCCTCGGACCACTGGGAGTACCCCGAAACTTCGTTCATTTGTTTTCGGTGGGCGGGGCGTTGGGGTTGATGTGAGCTCGCTCTGCCGATGTGTCATCCGAGGTAAGGAATCAGGAGCCAGCCCCTTCGGGACCCTGATCAGGGGAGTCTGTGGTGAATATGGAGGTCGGAATCCATATTGCTCAGGGCGAGTCCGGTCCGTCCGTGTATTCCAGGACCGGCTAAGCGGTGGTTGGGCCTCAGGGAACTGGGGTAGGATACGTCCGAGGGTCCAGCCGTTTCCAACTATACCGACCCGCCCCTCCACAGTCGATGCGCTGGTAAAATGATTACATGGAGAATAATAAAATAGAAAATATGGACATAATTGAGATTGTTCAAGAAGGTGAAGAGAAAATTGGAACCGGAGAAATAGTGTCACTTAAAATATAGCTGTAGCTCCTGCTGCCGAAGTGCAGTTACAGAAAGGAGCTACACATCAAAGGAGAGGTTCCTTTACACCCCCGTGATTGAAGGGGCGTACATAAAAAACACCCCAAATGAACTCAACGTTAGAGTAAACATCGCTAAGGAGGTTTTCGGAACCGTAAGAAGCTCAGGCTTAACTCTTCAGGCGTCAGCTGATAAGCTCCTAAAAACATTGGAGACGCCTGGAGTATTCCGCATGGCTAGTCCTGCAAGAGCGTTAAATACTCTAAAACGCAATCCAGAGACGCCAAAACCCAAATCAAAGGGACAGACTTCTTCGGCACAAGCTCAGAAAAGAGAAGCTTCGTTGTCTCCGGAAGAGAGAGTGCCGAAGAAAAAACAGTCTGACGAAGTCCTGAAGGAGGATAAAAGTTCTTCCTCAAATGGGCCTCAGACTGTTAGTGGCGAGAAACAGTGGAGAAAAGTTTCCAAAAAGAAGAAAAAGAAAAAAAATGAAAAGGAGACAGAGAAAGAGAAGATGACGAATTCGACTTCTAAAGTAAAAAAGAGAAATACGGAGACAATCAGAATAAGGGTGACATGTAATGAGTCTTACGAAAAAATCCTTGCTCATATGAAGGCGTCCGACAATCCAGCTGACACTGGGACAGAAATCCTGTCAATCAAGAGGTCTAGAAAGCAAGAGATGCTTGTCGTTCTTCGAAGAAATCAAGAGGTCTCTATTTTTAGTAAAAAAGTGGCTAACGCCCTTAAGGATAAGGCGGACGTCTCACATATTGTGACAAAAAGGTCTCTAGAGATTAGAGACCTAGACGAGGCAACGAATGTTGAGGAGGTAACCCAGGCGGTCCGACAAACTTTGGGCAGGACTGACTTGGAAATGTCTTGTCGACTTATTCCCCTAAGCCGTGGAGAAAAACTTGCCATTGTGCAACTCCAGGAAGCAGACGCGGATGCGCTACTGAAGACGGCCAGGGTGAAGGTCGGCTGGATTAATTGCAGGATCCGGCCTAGAATCGAGGTGGACAGATGCTTCAGGTGTCTTTGCTATGGGATCTGTCAAAAACCTGTCAGAAGCCGGACCGAGGCAAGATTTGCTGGAAATGTGGCTCTCCTGATCATTCCCACAAGGATTGTAAAAACAAACCTGTTTGTTTTACTTTTGTGGACAAAGGAGAGAAGGAGATCAACCACAATCCAGGAACTGGGTCCAGCCCAATTTATAAGGAGGAGCTCAGACAGCTAAGGGCAAGAAATTAAGGTTTCTCCAGGTCAACCTCGGAAGAGGACGCGTCGCTCAAGATCTCCTGATGCAGACTACCAGGGAGAGAGGAGCTGATGTACTACTTATAAATGAGCAGTATAAGAAGCATATATACTCAAACTGGTTTCAGGATGCATCAAGGAGATCAGGAATAATGATATGCAACCCGGAGCTTGCCATCGGGAAATTTTTGGAGACAGGTGACGGTTTCGTTTGGGTAGAGGTTGCGGGTGTTCGAATTTACAGCTGCTACTTGATCCCCTTGCAAAATTCGACACCGAGATCCTCTCTCTTGAGGAAAGTCTCAAGACTTGCGGCGGAGATGTCCTCATTGCGGGCGATTTCAATAGTAAGTCACCGGAATGGGGAGAGACTCGTCTTGACAGGAGGGGGATCTTGGTCACCGACATGATCTCCGCAAATGGTCTGGTGGTTTTGAACCGGGGCAAGGAGTTCACGTTTAGGAGGGGAGTATCAGGATCTATTCTTGATTTAACAATTGCGTCTCCCCGACTAGCCCGCAGAACAAGTGAATGGGTACTGGACGAGGAAACAATGAGTGACCAACAGTACATAGAGTTTTTAGTCTCCGAGGAGAATTCCAGAGGGCGCGTCGCTCCTAAATATGGTAGCAAGAGCTCCTCTTGGAACCTCAGGAGGCTAAACAGGGAAAAGCTGGTGGAATCCCTGGAAGAGTCGCGATTTATTCGGGAACTAAACTGGGTGAGGAAACCGGCTTCTTTAAAGGGTATAGTGCGAGAGGCAAGGCGAGTGATTGTACAAGCTTGCAATCACTCTATGCCTCGCCGGCAGAAAAGAAAAACGGGAAAGGGATCTATGTACTGGTGGAATGAAGAATTGGCCTGTCTTAAGAGAGAGTTTTACGCAGCAAGAAGGCATTTTACCCATTCGAAGGGAAACCTCCAGCTGCGGGAAACATGGCATAAAGCTAGGCGGACTTTTAAGCAGGCCGTGAAAAGTAGCCAACGCCGTTGCTGGAAGGACCTGATCGGAGATTCCGAAAAGGATCCGTGGGGTTTGGCCTTTAAGATTGTCGCTAAGAAATTAATGACAAGGCATAAAACCCCTGGTTTGGATGATCCGATTTGGGTACTAGAAATCATAAAGGCACTGTTTCCCTATGTGGAACATAGCCCCAGAGAGGACTATACTTACTGCGTAGTACGAGACGAGGAGCTCTTCACAATTGAAGAATTAAAAAAAGTGGCAAAGACGTTAAGAAACGGCAAAGCGCCGGGCAATGATGGCATCCCGAGCGAAATCTTAAAACAGGTTGTCGCAGTGGATCCACAGTTGCTTCTTGACGTCTTTAATACGTGCTTGAAAGCCGGAGAGTTCTTCGATGACTGGAAAACGCAGAAGTTGGTCCTTCTCAGAAAAGGCGATAAACCTCTGGATAAGGTCACATCGTTCAGACCAATTTGTTTATTGGATACGATGGGAAAATTTCTAGAGGGAATGGTTCTACAGAGACTTCAGGAAATCCTGATAGGCGAAAATAGCCTATCGGGGAAACAATTTGGCTTTCGGAAAGGCCGGTCAACAGTCAATGCAATACTCACTGTTGTAAACCAGGCAAAGAAAGTCAAAGAGGACAAGAAGAAAGGATTCTGCGCGCTTGTCTCCATCGACATACGTAATGCGTTTAATTCCGCAAGGTGGGACAATTGCATCGAGGCGATGCGTCGTAAAGGGGTACCAACCTATCTGTTGCGAATGATAGACAACTATCTCAGCGACAGATGGGTTGAATACAAGAGCGATGCATGTCATCTCAAACATGAAATGATATGCGGAGCTCCCCAAGGATCAAAGGTGGGTCCATTCATATGGAACGTCATGTACGATGACTTCCTTAGAATGGATTTACCTGAGGATACGATAATGGTTGGCTTTGCGGACGACGTTATTATAGTGTGTGGCGCGGAGAGTCCTGAGATTCTGGGCATAAGGATCAATGACAGTCTGAGACGAGCGAAGTTCTGGTTAGATCTCAACGGCCTGCAAATGGCTATAGAAAAGACAGAAGCTTTGCTCGTGACGGGTATGATATCCTTTACAGTCCCAAAGATTCGTATAGGACAAACTGAAGTCTCCTGGGGAAACAGTCTGAAGTACCTGGGAGTGACGTTGGATCGAAAATTAAAGTTCGACCAACATGTTAAGATCACGTCACTGAATGCAGCCTACTGTATGGGAAACCTATCTAGGATGATGCCCAATGTCGGTGGCCCCAGGGAAAAGAAACGCCGATTAGTGGCGACCGTGGTTCAGGCAAAGCAACTTTACGCTGCCCCTGCATGGGCTGAGTCCCTAAAGAACCGCGGTATCTCTGATGAGCTACTCTCTGCGCAGGGTGGTTGTGCGCGGAGAGTAGTTTCAGCCTACAGAACAGTTTCAACGAGCGCTGCTTTGGTTCTTGCGAGCCTTCCGCCAGTAGATTTACTGGCGAGGGAAAGACAGGAAGTCTTCCAACTCAATAAACATCGAGCTTCCTCGCAAGAACAACAGAGTAGAAATCTCCTCAAAGCGGTTATCCGAAAAGAAGCGAGATGTAGACTCGTTGAAAGATGGCAAGAGAGATGGGATGAGGATCCTAAAGGAAGGTGGACATACCGCCTGATCCCCAACCTCGCCACTTTGCTCGACAGAAAGCACGGAGAAGTTGGCTACTACCTGAACCAAGTGTTGTCAGGTCACGGATGTTTCCGACAGTACCTTCATAGGTTCAAGATTAAGAGAGAAGCAAAATGCGCCTACTGTGGCGCTGCAGTAGATGACGCGGAGCATACTCTCTTTCATTGTGGGCATTGGAACCATGAAAGAATGGCTATGTTTACGGCAGTTGGCTCTGAAATCAACGTCGATAACATGGTGTCTACCATGGTTCAAAACGTGGACTTCTGGAGGCATATTGAAACTTTCATTATTAAAATAATGGGGGAAAAAGATAGAGACGGAAGACGAGGTTGACCGGAGGAATCCAGTGCTCATCGGTGTGGGAGCGTGGGGGGAGGAAAGCAACTAGTTTTTCCTCCCACCCTCGCTCCCACATTGTATGGACGGATTAAAGGCACGTTAAGGAGTAGGACAGGGGGACAACCACTTGCGAAGTTCAAGGCCTGACGGTAGTACCGCATGTGGATCAAGTGTCCCAAAACAAAACGGGAGTGGTTTTTAGTGGGTCGACCAAAACAGGAGCGGTCATCCCCACATAACCTGGAAATCATTTCTCAGGTATCTGAATTCGCAGATTTTCCACTTCCGACTACAAAAAAAAAATAAAAAAAAATAATAATAATAATAATTGGGTTCATTTGTATGGAATGTATCTTACGATGATTTTCTGCGAATGGATCTACCCGAAGGTGCGGTGATCATCAGCTTTGCGGACGACGCGTTGTTCGTGTGCACTGCCGAAAGTGAGGAGGCTCTTGGGACATTGGTGAACGAATGTCTGCGACTAGCAAAAAGCTAGCTGGATACCAGAGGTCTTGAAATGGTCCTGGAAAAGACCGAGGCACTGCTGGTCACAGACAGACGTGGTTATGAGCTCCCACGAATCGTGTTAGACGGATTCGAGGTCAAGTGGAGTAAACAAATTAAATACCTTGGTGTGGAGTTGGATGGAAGGTTAAACTTCCACCACCACATGGCTACGGCGTCAAATAAGGCGATCGAGTGTGCGGCTAATCTTTCACGGTTAATGCCAAATGTAGGCGGACCCCGTGAACAAAAACGGAGACTGGTGGCGAGTGTCGCCCATGCTAAAATGCTCTACGCAGCACCAGCGTGGGCCCCATCCCTGAGGAGTAAAAGATGTGTGACCATCTGTGAAAAGATACTGTCGACGGAGAGATCGATAACAACGCGTATCATCTCTGCATATAAGACGCTATCTACGAGTGCTGTGCAGGTCCTTGCAAGTGTCCCGCCAGCAGATCTTTTGGCGAGGGAAAGGGAAGAAATGTTTCTCCTTTCTAAAGAAAGAAGTTCCTTGGATGAGGAAATAAGACCAAGCAAGGACCTGATCTGCAAAGAAGCGAGGCACAGGCTCATAGAAAGATGGCAGGAAAGATGGGATGGTGAGGAAAAAGGTCGATGTTTGTACAGTTTTAAGTAAGTTAATTAATAAGTAACTAAATTTGTTAGTAAGTTAGTTAGTGACGTCGCACTTTGAAAATGTAAAATTTGTAGCTACTGTAAAACTGCACGATAGAAAAAATTTAAACTATGATTACGATTATATGTTACATTTACCGTGCACAAGTTTATGCACCAATCATCAAACTTGACAATGACTTATGTACTTTTCATTTTATACAACTTTCTAATTATTTAGAGGAGACTAGATGCGATTGTTATGCTGTGAAGTTGTTACAAATGGAATATCTCAGAAACAGTTAATTATAGAGATGGGCTTTCAAAGGGAAAAATGTTTATTTTGTTATGTACGAATTTGCTGCAATATGTTTAAAAATTATATGCAAGTTTTACAAGTGAAAAATAGACACATTGGTTTTTAGAGACAAAAAGTAAATATTTCTCTGCTTAATATTTTTTAAATAATTAATAAACCTTTATACTTAAGATTAGAGATGTGCAAAAAACTCGAAAGGTCGAGCCGAGCTATGCTATGAATTCGAGTGCTTGAATTTTTTGAGTACTCGAAGTCACTCGAGTACTCGAATGAAATGAAGTACTCGAAATATTCGAGAACTCGAATTTTTCGAGCTTTTAACTTACTAAAAAAACTATTAAGAAGTAGAAAATTTCGAATTTATTCGAATTACTGAATCAATAAAGTAAAGAAATCTTCAATTTCAAAGTGTATTTCTATTTTCTAATTATAATATATTCGAAAATTATATGAATTTTCTCTAGAATTCTAATTTACTCAAGAGCTCGAAAAAATTCGAGTACTCGAAACTATTCGAGCTTTTTACACAGCTCGGCTTGGCTCGAAAAATGAAAAGCTCGATTGAGCTTCGAGTTTCGAGCTTTTTACACACCTCTACTTAAGATAGTATATTTTTCATTATTAATTCTATGAGGATTAAGCTTTAAATAAAAAACTGCCTTGGTTGTTCACATTTAGTGTATACTTTTTTAATAAAGTGATTTATTGTAAAAAATGTACCTGTTGTGCAATTGTTACAGGTGAGGATAAGAATGGATATTTATTCTAAAATTCAGCAGATTCGTTTGAAATTTAAAATATTTTTTAAAAATGTAATCACTTATTTTTTATGAAAAAATCTTACGTACTATTTACGTTGAGCCAAAAATTATGAATAATTAATAAAAATTGTTATAAGAAATCGACATTCACTTTGCGCAGTTGTTTTAATTTACACGCTGTCATTCAAAAACTTCTAGTTAATTAAATAACAGATATAGAGCTAAATCAATTATGGCCTTTTAAAACTAGATAATATATACCTTTGATTTAATTGTTTCATCAAATAAATTGTAGTTAAACTGTAATCACTGTAACTGATTTTATAAAAATTGTAACATCTGCACTTAATCTCCTCTAGTATGGAATACTTGAACATGTAAAGTTACATTTTCGACTGTAATGTTAATCTCAAGGTTTGTATTATTAACACAATGAAACCAGTCAAATCACACTTTCTAAATGTAATTTTACAGTTTTACACTGTAATATATTTTTATTTTTACAGTGTATTTATGTATTTTCACGCTCAGATTACAGGAAAAATATTGCAGACATGATTAGAATTATTCTTTATGGTGTTTTCAGCGAAAAACTAAATTTTTAAAAAATTTTTTTGTTAATTATTTGACATATGCTATATATATATGTAAAATGATTAGAGTTGATATTTATGTTTTTGATAGCGAAAAACTAGAAATTTTTTCAATTTAGGAAAAAAGTGTATACCACCTCTTGGTTTTCATAATTCTTGGCATAGTAGACTGCAGTTTTGCTTACTTTATGCATTTTTATGTGTAGATTTCAGAAAAAATATAGCGTACTTGATTGGATTTTTGTATTTTTTTTTAGTAAAAAACTCGACATTTTTAAAAATTTAGTCAAAAAAGTGTGTACTCATCTCTGGCTATTACAAAAATTGATTTTCTTCTTCTTTTTAAGAGAAGAGGTTCTGTGGCGAGCATCCCTGTGAAACTTTTGATAGAAATAAGATTTGTTAAATGTGAAAATTGTTCTGTGTGTGTCGAGTAAGAATTTTTGAAGTGTGACACTTAAGGGGGGAACCTCCTTTAGATGATCGAAAAATGCGTCATTTTTGGGATCTTTTTTCTCGGGTAAAATAACTTCAAACAATTTGTAATTTATAGGGTACTTTAATACATGTCTTGAGAGTCTAAAAAAATTTTTCGAGAAAAAACAAAATATTTTTAGTATGAAAATATACACCGCGTCCATGGCACCTCATTTTATCTGTGAACATTCTAGCGCTCTGAATTTTTTTATAAAACAAAGAAACCAACGTTTTTTTAAACTTTAGGATAATACCTTCTATATGACATTTCGATTTTTTGAAAAAAATTTCGAGAATTGATTTTTTTTACCCACTTTTAAGTTAAAAGTGATTTTTCGTGCATAAAAATTGACTTTAAAATTCCAAAAAAATATGAAAAATTTTTTTTTAGGAAACACTAAATGTCATATTGAAGATTATTTAATTATCTTTTAAATGATGTATCATAAAGCCCGATTGGTTCAAAAGGGCGTTCTCAATCGTGTTCACAAAATTAAAAAATGGTGTTTCGTGAAAAATGCGTTTGAAGTTTTTTTTAAATAAAGTGACTCGAATGTCAAACAAATGAAAGAAGGGTTGCCACATAGAAATTACAAATTATACTGACAGTGATACTCTGAATGAAAGAAAAAGGCAGATTGAATGCTAAAACAGAAAAAATTCTGGACTCTAGTAAACATTTCACCAGACGACGCATGAAAAAAAAATTAAAAATTTCTTTAACTTCTTCAATAATACAGAAATCGACTTAAAATTTGATGGGTATATTCTTGAATAGTTGTAGAATCAATTAAAATTTTTTCCAGAAAGTCGATTTTTTTGACGCAATAAAGGTTCCCCCCTTAAAACTTGAAACTCCAAACGGCAGAATTTTTGTCTTGAATCTAAGTTTGCAAATAAAAATTATTGTGTTTAAAGATATTTAATTTTAGTAAACAAAAAAATTGTTTATTAAGAAACGTATAAAAAACCGTAGCCATAAAATTTCAAGTTGAAAAAATTCTTATTCTTTACACCTTTCTGAATAATATTACGAATCGAAACAAATGGCACCAAATTTTTTGATACTGTGTATGAAGTTATTCTCACGTAATAGAGATATGTTCTGCGACAGTCTGTTGCTCTCGGAGCATGCACGTTTCTGTATTAACTATTATACGGAATATACTATTGGAAGATAATTAGTAGTTAATCTAGTTTTTAAGTGATCTCATACTTTAAAATTGTATTAACAATTTGAAAGTAGAGTAGAAGGGGGTAATGTAGTGCACTTTTCTTTCGGAGACTCCTGTGGTCGCAATTTTCAACCAATTTTGATCATTAAGAACTCGTTGGAAAGACAATGCTTCTAGCTACATTTATGGTGTACATTATTTTTTTGTAGATGTAGATGGAGCTTTTCTATATCCAAAAAACTGAAAGCACTTTTTTTCGACATTCTAAAATTTGTGGGGCAATGTAGTGCACCACTTTCTTAGTGGAATAAAAAGCAGAGAATATATCATAAACGATTTTATTTTATTAGATATAACATTAGGAACATAAGAAACTTAAAAAACTATAAACTAGTAGTGATGCCCACAAGACGAGACTTTGCATGTAAAAACCGAGACGAGATCGAGACTTTGCATGGTATCATCTCATCTCGTGGATAGCACTATAAACTATAGAGATTTCTTTGGTCCTGTGTTAGATAAAACTGAAAGAAAACTGCAAAAATTTGCAAAAAGCAAACATGGTTAAATAATACATATTTACGGTACTCTGTACAATTGCACTACATTGTCCCCAACCCCGTGCACTACAATGCCCCCAAGCACTTTTTTCACGTTGACTTCAATATCTCAATAAAAACAAAATTAAACATCAAAGCAATACTAAATTTGTGTTCAGAAGTAAATTTTACATGGAAAAATCACTTTCCTGATACTTTTTTAACGAGCCTCACATTTTTTTTCAAGTCACTAAAAAAACGGAAATATGGTTTCGAAATCTAGTGTTTTTGAAGTGACGCCACAACTTCTTTTAGAAGAAGCACAATAAAGCCAAAATGATATACATTACTATTATTTGATACCTTAACCCTATTATACCAACGGCAAGTAATTCAATTCATTTGTTTAGTCAGTAAAGCCAGTGCACTACATTACCCCCCTCTACTCTATTCAATTAGATATTAGGTTAAGAGAATTTATGTACGGAAGGGCATGTCCAGTTTATAATTCAAAATAAAACTATCTAGGAACTATTTCACATGCAATATCAAAAAATAATTATTTTAGTTACTTTTCAGTGTTTGCCATTTTTCCTCTTCGGAATAGTATTCAGAAAGGTTTAAAGAATAATTAGAATTTTTTTTAACACCTCAATTTCATGGGTAATGTGATTTTTTTATAGATTTTTATAAATGGACAATTTTTTGTTTTTTAAAATTCAATATCTTTAAACAAAATGATTTTCATTTAAAATTTGAATTAAAGACAAAAATTATGCCGTTTTCATATCAAATATTACAGGAAAATTAATAGGTATTTAAGAAAAACACAAATTTTCAAGTTTTGTGTGGCACGTTTCAGAAATTCTTACTTTGTTATAAAGTAGTATATAAGTTTTATTTAAATTTAAAGTGAAATTAATTTTTTTTGCAGATAAAATAAATAATACTTACTGACAAATTGAAGAATTATTAAATAGAAGTCAGTTTATTTTGATTGGAAATTAGTCAATATTTGGTGAGTAATTTAATAAAATTTATTTGCATTATTTTTCTAAATATTTTGTAAATTATAATTGCAATTTGTAAATATTAATTTATTTGTGTCTTTACTATACTTATCAGCGATTGATATTTTAATTTTTTTGCATATTTAAAAATGCCTAGGTTAAAAAAAAGTCTAGAGAGCAGGTGGCTGGAGAAAAGAAAGAAAAACTAAGACTTAAAAGAGATTGCAAAGTAATAAATAATGATAGTGTTAGTATAGGTATAAAAAACAAAATTGACTTGCATAATTCAAATGTAAAACGCGTAATTAGGGATGAAGTAAATAAATGTTTTAAGAAGGATGAAAATAGATGCAATAGTTTTAACGATGAGGAAAAAGTAGGAGAATGTTCTTTTTCGAAAAAAATAGATTATTATCTATTTTGAAAAAATATATATATGTATTATGTTATAATATGTTATGAAGTAGAATCTGATACAAATAGCAATGCTAGTGATAATGAAGATGATGTATGTAATGAAGTATTACTTGTGGATAGAAATGCTGAATATATATATATATATATATATATATATTTGAAAACTTGAAATGTGTGAAAAAAGTTACGTTTAATATAAAGAAAGAAAAATATAGAAAAAAGAAATGGATGAAGAAACAGCGAGAAGATTTTGATTTTAGAGAAGCTGAAAAATTACAAGAAAGACAAAGGAAAAAATTAAAACGGAAAAATTCAGAAACAAGTGAAAGAAAAAGAAAAAGAAAGGAAAAGATTAAAGCGAGAAGATTTAGAATATAGAGGAAAGGAAAAAGAACACCAGAAAGAGGGAAAAAGAATAAAGCGTGTAAATATTGGATTTAAAGAAAGGGAAAAAGAGCAAGAAAGAGAAAGGAAAAGATTAAAGCGCAAAAATTTAGAATTTAAAGAAAGAGAAAGAGAACAACAAAAGGAGAGAAAAGGAGTAAAGCGTGAAAATTTAGAATTTAAAGAAAGGGAAAGAGAACAACAAAAGAAGAGAAAAAGAGTAAAGCGTGAAAATTTAGAATTTAAACAGAAAGAAAATTTTAATAAGAGGTTGGTAATAAGATTAAAACGTATAGATATTAATTACAAGAAAGTAGAAAAGTTAAATCAGAGGGAAGCTAAAAGAGTGAAGCGGGAGAACAGTTCATTTAAAAAAATAGAAAGAGAAAAGAATAAAGTTGGTAAACGTCGGGCAAGATTGAGTGAATTTTATCGATTTAGGGAAAATTTTGTAAGAACTTTAAAAACTAAAGACGATAATAGATCTAAAGCAATGTTAGAGTTTATTAAAAAACGAGGAGATACGCCTAATAATATATGTACTTGTTGCGAAACATTGTGGTTTAGTAATTCAGTTATTAATGTAGCGACTACTAAATTGAAAGCTAATCAAGCTTTTGGTGGAGTCTCTGTATTAGTGGTAAGTGATTTGCATCAATTACCTCCTGTGCAAGATGTTTTAGTGTTTAAAAATCCAAGAGTGACAGCTATAAGTAATTTATCTTTTAGCGTGAGGAATATGTTCGAATTTTATGAATTGGATGAAGTTATGGGGCAAAAAAATGAAAAACAGTTAATTAAAGCATTAAATAATTTAGCAAATAAAGGTATGGATAATGATGATGTTAATCTTATTAGAAATAGATGCGTCAAAGAATGTGAAGTACCTATTGATGCTATTAGATTATTTGCTTCTAATAGATTAGTTAATGATTATAATTTAATGGGAATTAATAATCATGAAGGAGATGAATTTGTTTCTGAAGCTAATGATTATATATTAGCAGATATTATAGAAAATGAAAAACGTAAACGATTGGAGTCATTGAAAAAAAAATCACTTTCTGAATTAGGTGGATTACCAAATGAGATTATTTTTAAGGTAGGAATTAAATACATGCTTACTAATAACATTGATATTCAAGATGGATTGGTAAATGGTGCGTGTGGTATTTTAAGAGAGGTAAAATTTGATGAAAATTCTAAAAATGTCTCAAAAATATGGATAGAATTTAATTTTGATAGAATGGGTAAAAATGCTCGTAATACTTACAGAGATTATATAGAGAGAAATAATATTAATAATAATTTTACACCGATTTCGAGACAAAAAAATGTTTTAAACATTTCTAAGAAGATAGGATATCAAGTTATTAGAGAACAATTTCCGATAGTACCAGCAGAGGCTATTACGATTCATAAAAGCCAAAGGCCAAACATATACCAATGTGTGTTTAGATTTAAGAAAAAATGAAAGAATAACGAAAACGATGTTATATGTCGCTCTTAGTCGTACTACAGAATTACGAGGATTATATATAATAGGAAATTTTAACCAGACTACAAAAACACGAACCGATGATCCTGTTCATGTAGAAATGGAAAGATTAAGAAATGATAGATATCTTAATTTATCTTATAGCAATTTAAGAACTTTTAATGGCAAAATTATTGTTTTTCAAAATTGTAGGTCCTTAAAGAAACATATTTATAAAATTGTTATAGATCAGTGGTATCAAAGAGCAAATGTTTTAATTTTTGCTGAAACTCGATTAAAAGAAAACGATAAAGTTGAAATTCCTTGCTTTGAAGAAATATTTCGTTCTAAACATTCTGAAAATGTTGAATTAAGAGGAATTGTTGTTTTTGTGAAAAATGATTTAAATAAGTATTAAAACATATTAAGTATTACTTATTAAACATATTAAGTATTACTTATTAAGTATTAAAACATTTATCGTTTGTTGAAAAAAATGATGGCAATTATAAAGGACAAATTGATTTAGTTTGTTTACAATTGGATAATTTTGTTATAGTTTCTGGTTATAAATCACCGTCAATTAGTTTTAAGTTTTTTAAAGATAGTTTATTGGATGCTATTAACTTATCGCTAACGTTCAATTCTTTAATAGTTATTATTGGTGTTTTTAACATTGATCTAAACAATGAAAATAGATCAAAATGTTTAGAACTTTTTATGAAAGGATATAAATTAACATCTGTGCTTCCTAAAGGTATTGTGACAACAGATTTTGGAACACAAATTGATGTTATTTTTACTAATATTCAAAATTACATATCAGGAACATATGAAACATATTTTTCTGATCATAAACCGATTTATTTTGGTATTCCTAATAATTTAAATATTTTGTGTGATATAGAATTTAATAGCAAATATAAGAATAATGATTATGTCATATAACGGGTGTCTTATTATTGTTGTTAATATTTGAGAAATTTCTATTAATTTTATTACTCTGAATGAGGTTATTTTATTTTAAGAAATTATTTTTATTTACTTCCGAATCAACAAACTAAATAAAAACACACGTTACTTTGTTGTTGAATTAATTGCCCGACGCCAGAGATATTTTATGGAAAAATATTCAAACCTATTATTTTAATTAATTTTATGCTCGCTCAATCTTTTCAAGGGGAGCGCAGGGTAAGAGAAATCACAAGTTCGTTTTTAATTTTTGATTTAATCACAAGAAATTACAGGTCCAGACGGGACCTGTTCAGAAGTTACACAGATGATATGTCGCGAAACAAAGGAAATTGACACATGTTAAATTTTTAATCGATTGTTCGTCAGGAGATAACACTTTTAATTATTCAGAGACTCACCGAAGATACGCCGACGTCCCCTCATGGTCCCACGGCTCACCTCTTGGAAGTAGGCACAACTGATTTTAATTTAAATTTTAATTATTACAAAAACGGTCTACTGCGACCTGTCATTAAACGACGTCAAAATGAGAATCAATTAAATGGCCGACGGGGACGCCGAAGCAGACGCGCATCTCTGCTTCGTGGTGAGTCTCACGCGCACTTGATACAAAGATTTTCGGTATGTAATCGATGCGCGACAGTAAGTAATTCAGGTCATTTATCGACCGTCAAAAAAGAGTTCATGAAAGTTCGTTTAGTCTCCGCGAGGGGCACTGCGCGACGACGTCCGGTTCGCAAGATGGCTGCAGCCAGTGTTTTGACAGCTGATGTCCTCGTCGATGGACTGGTTCCCTTCCAAAATTAAAGAAGGCAGGGGTGACTCGATTAGTGCTATGAAGCGCCGTGTTATACGCGAAACGAAAATCGCCGATATAAATGTCCCAGTTTCGATGGTTATCGTTAATGAACGATCGAATCATAGTCTTGAGGACCCTATTGGTCCTCTCGACGGGGTTCGCTTGTAGATGGTATAAAGAGTTAAAAGAGTGGTGAATGTGATACGTCCTTGTTAATTCTTTTATCGCGTTATTGTTATATTCCGTACCACTGTCACTATGAAGCACTTGAGGAGTGCCCCAACGGTTGATCACGAGTTCACGGAATGTGTTAATTACTGTATTGGCGTTGGCTGTTCTCAATGGGGCCACCTCAACCCATTTGGTAAAGAGGTCCTGGAATACTATTAGGTATTCGAAGCCTCTTGCACTCCTGGGGAAAGGACCCACGACATTAGTGGCCACCACACTCCATGGTTCGTGAACAACTCGTTGTGTCATTAAGCCACGCGGTTTAGCTTGTTCGGTTTTATTTAATTGGCAGACAATGCATTTGCGAACAAAGTTTTCTATATCTTTTAGCATGCCAGGCCAATAGTAACGGATTGATGCGCGATCGTAGGTCTTTTGGCCACCTAAGTGACCAGCCTGAGTATTCTCATGGGCTTCTCGCATGATGGTTAAGCGGTCTCCTTCAGGGACTACTAATTTCCAGGCTGAAAGATCTTCTACGAGATCTTCCAAAAGCGGGTTACTACGATAGTAATAAAGTCGGTCGTCAGTCACTTTCCAATTGTGGTACTTACGCGGATTGTCAATTACGTCTTGTTTACGTCTATCGTACCAGTCATCGGTGGTTAATTGAAGTAATGCGATTTTGTCCTCAGTCTCGTCTTCGAACATGCGGGACAATGCATCCCGGACAAGGTGCATTGACCCTTTTCTATGTAAAATTTTATAGTCGTATTCTAATAATTCAAGAGACCAGCGGGCTAAGCGGCCAGTCGGGTTACGAAGGTTGTTCAACCATTTAAGGCAACTGTGGTCAGTTATCACTTTAAAGTGATAACCTTCCAAGTAGTATCGAAACTTCCTTATTGCCCAAATGACAGCCAAACACTCTCTCTCCGTCACGGAATAATTCCGTTCGGCACTTTAGAGTACTCGACTGGCATAAGCGATTACTCGCTCTTTATTATCCTGAGTCTGAGTTAACACAACACCCAATCCGCAATTACTCGCGTCAGTTTGAACGCTAAATGGAAGGTTAAAATCAGGATAACTCAAAACCGGGGCAGAAGTTAAGGCTTTCTTTAGAATAGAAAATGCATTTTCTTGCTCGTTAGTCCAACTAAATGGCTGGTCTTTCTTTAAAAGACGAGTTAAGGGTTCGCAGATTTTTGCGAAATCGTGGATGAAACGACGGTACCACGAAGTTGCGCCTATGAAACGACGTAATTGTCGAACATTCTTAGGTTGAGGATATTCCAGAACTGGGCGAAGTTTGTCATCATCAATGGATAACCCATTTTTATTAACTTTGAAGCCAAGATATCTGACTTCGGGAACACAAAATTTGCTTTTCTCGGGGCTGATTGTGAAACCAGCCTTTACAAGTTTATCGATTACGAGTTCAAGCCATTTTAAATGTTCTTTAAAATTTTTATTGACTATTATTATGTCATCCAAGTATGCGAATACATTGGGCTTCAAATCGTCAGTTATCACCTTATCCATTAACCGTTGGAAGGTGGCTGGTGCTCCACAAAGCTCGAATGGCATTCTAGTGTATTGCGTCAGCCCCTTCCCCGGTACAACAAAGGCAGTTTTTGCTTTACTTTCCGCTCTAAGGGGGATCTGGTGATAAGCTAGTTTGAGATCTATAGTCGACATATAATGGGCAGAATTTAACTTATCAAGAATTTCGGCCATGAACGGTATAGGATAAACGTCTTTTACTGTGACGTCATTCAATTTACGAACATCCAGACACTGCCGATAAGTGCCGTCCGGCTGTTTTACCTTGCAGACTGGATTACACCAGTCCCCATGAGAGGGTTTAATTAGTCCCTGCCGTTCATGATTTCCAGAGTTCTTGATTAAGAATTCGCAAACTTTGGGTGACATTCGATGGTTTTTCTGACGGATCGGCAAATGATCCTCAGTGTTAATGACGTGTTCAACCAATGTAACGGCTGGTAGTTTATCTGGCAGAGGATGTACTAATCTTTTAATTAACGAGTCTAATTCCTCTTGTTCACTAAGAGAAAGTGTCATAAGGCCTGAACATTCTTCAAGGTTAATTGGTCGGCTAGATTTACAAAACGCGATTCTAATAATCGGTTCTTCCGCTAACCAAAGCCGTTGAACACTTGTGTCAATTACTACGCCAAATTTTTTTAAGAAATCTATCCCTAACACATTGATCAGTTAACTCTGGGATAACTTTAATTGTTAAATCGCGAGTCACGCCCGCGATAGTGACAGGCAATATTGCATCACCAATGATTGTTTCAATCGTACCATTGGCCAACATTACGTGACCCGATTCAAGTTCATTTATTTTATTACCTTTAGATTCAACAATTGATCTACCAATAGAATTCAAGTAAGTTCTAGTCGAACCAGTGTCAACCAGTGCCTGTACTTCAGTACCACCAATCAACAGTTGGTCTCGATTGAGAACCGATTCCACACAGTTTATCAAGGTTAATATAAGATTCAGGGCCCATTATAGGGTTTGAATCTAGAGTTAAGTTATTTTTAATTTTCTCCTGAACACTTACTGTGTCAGTTGAGATTTTACAAGTTACTTCTGAATCGGTTAAACTTGATTCAGATTTATTTACTGGTGGCTCAACCAGAGGCTTACCAAAATCACTATTTTCATCATTTATTTTCATTTCAGATTTATTTGTTAAAGAATTTATTTTATTTTCAATTACTACATTACTTGAATGGGGCGATGGTAATGCTGATTCTACGTTAAGAGTTAAATTCATGTCCGATTTCTTGTTAGTCAGGGTCCTAGGTAACGAACAAGGAGAAGCATCGACCCTAGCGCTGCTCTCCTCAACTAGTTTCCCTGACAGTAATCTGAATTACAGTCATATTTGGTGAATTCCGGTTTACCGCAAATGTGGCAGAATTTTTTCCAAGTTAATTTACAATTATTCCACGAATGGTCATTAGCTTGACAATTAAAGCACGGGGGTTGTTGAACCGCTTCCTGAAATTCTTTACGCTTAGGTTTAACTTTATCGTTACTTGCCTGGTGAGACTTAGACTTGTTATTTAATTGATTCGGTTTACACGAGTTATTTTTTTTCTTACAATTTGACTCTGAAGGGGAATTTTTGTTTCCTCTCGAGATTTTATTAATTTGTTCAGTCATCGCGCTGAACATGTTTACTAATTTATCGATTGACGAGTCTGAGTCTTTAGTATTATTCGAAGCTACTGAATTTTCTTTACCCGAAAAGGCAAATTCTGGGAAGAACGAATCTTCCGGTTTTTGAGGCTTTCCCTCAACCGCGAGTGAGCTGTACATACGTTCAACGTCAAACGCAATGAGAGACAACTCTTCTAAATTATTAAATTCGCGACGTTTAATACATTGTTTTAATCTCGGCAACATGTTCATGTAAATTCTATCCAACATTTCC